GTTACATCCTATCGGATTCCGAAATCGCCTTGTGCTGGTTGAAAAGCTCTCCCAAACGAGAGTTAGGAGTTTTCATTCACCGCAGATTAATGGAAATAAGAAGGATTGTGGAACACCTAGCCAAAGAACATTGCCTTATGCAATTTGGACACGTAGGATAACCCCGCTGACTGCGGAACAAGCTTTGACGAAAAGCGAATTCAGTCACCACCACTGGTGGACAGGACCAGAGTGGCTACAGCACGAAGTGACCCATCGGCCCTTACGGGACACACTATTCGGATTTTTGTCTAAGGAAAGCCAAGAAAAGGAAGCGGAAACGAAATCGGATACAATCATAGCGGCTGAGGTGACGATTTACGATAATGCTATCACAAGGAAGGGTACACACATTTACCCAAGCAAAACGGATTGTTGCATATGCCCTTCGTTTTATTCGATCAACAGTAACAAAAATCAATAGGAAGGGTGGATACAAAATCACTATCGGAATACCACCTCTACCCTCCGGCATTCTGATAGACTACCTGTGCGGGAGTGAAATAGAATCCGCAGCGAAATTCATAATAAAAAACCATCAAAGACTCAATGTCACCAATGACATCAGAAAGGCGCTGAAAGACCTCAATATTCAGAAGGATAAGGAAGGAATATATCGCTGTTACGGATGCCTGGGCAAGGCACAATTAGAATTCTCGAAAAGTACCCCATCTTTATATTACAGAAAACCATACTAGCCGAAATCATTGTCCGTGAGGTACATGAACAGGGTCACACTGGCATTAATCACACGATAAGTCTAGTCAGACAACAATTCTGGATTCCACAACTTCGATCACAAGTCAAAGGGCTGAACAATCCACAGCCGGAAAGAACCTCCAACATCCAGATATCTATTAGAAGGGTGGGGAGTGTAGCAATAGCTACAATTATTTCATTTCTTTAGGCTTTCATTTAAACTGTAACGCGCTGTGTACAATGATTGATAAGTATCTTTGAGGGATAAGATAGAATATGGTATAAGAAGTGATGGCAAGCCGGTATGGTTCATTCGTTGGTTCATTCATTCAGACTACATCGCGATACAAGGACTGAGGCGTCACGTCAATACCTGGACTTCATCCAAGGAGCAGGCATTCAACACATCCGGCAGTAGCAATAAAGCTTGTTCTCATTACGACTCGTCGTGCACAGTCAACACAAAACCGCGTGGCAGCAAACACTATAGCCATCAAGAAATGGGAATTCGGACCCTGTGAATGTGTATTGCATGGGATCCCTCTTGAAGAGCGACTGCATGCAGAACCCTCCCTAACTTTTGAACGTAAAACATCGAGGAAAGGTGATGCTTGATCATTAAGGAAGGAGCATTTGATGATCCATCAACGATTCCACAATCTTTGGCATGAATCTCCGTAAATAAGGTAACTCAGTAAGCTCTCAGACGGACTGAATGCGGTGCTTGTCTGTGAGGTCGGAAATTGAAATCGTTGAATAACTTGAACAATGTAAGCGTTCCTAAGAGGCATGGTCTCTTGACCATATACTTAGCAACTGGGCTTATGCGGTTTTCGGTTTTTAATTAGAGGTGAAAAAGGGGAGGTTGTCGAACATGCTCGATTTCGTCGACCTGACGCTGCAGCTTGAGCACTTGAATATCCGTGTGACGCTGCAGCTTTAGCACTTGAATATCCGTGTGAAAAGAGAGTTCAGAAAATAGGGCGAGGAATTTACTGCAAAACGATATAAAACTCAATGGCCACGTTTCGTTGAGCAGTCAGCGTAGCGTAGTCAGCGGGTGTAGGACTTTCTTAAAAGATCTCACTTCACACCTATCATGCCTCTCGGGGAGACTCGCCTGCGGTGTTGCCTGACTTAATTGCTCTCTCACTAGCTCCTGACCTTTCCTCTACTTGACGATTACATCATGATGAGTGATGATTTACTGCTAATTGACGATCTATGATCATGAATGACTATGACTGCATTAGTGGTGTCTTGTTTGTAGCCAGAATTTAATAGGAATATATGGGACATACAATGAAAGGTGTTGAATAGCCGATGAAACAAGTCCGACAAGCATTAAAGCATGTTAGAAAAGCCGATTTAAATGAAACACATAAGATTAGCGCTCTAATTGTAGTATTAGTAACAAATCTTAGCCGTTTTTCTACACATACTCTTCCACTTCGATTTGAGATGCGCCATTTCGAAGGCATACATCGAATCTGAAAGTAACAATGGAGGATCAGCTTTGCTAATTCCTTAATTATATGATGAGGTAAAGGGATATTTCAAATTTACTTCAGGTAAAATCAAAGAATTGGTGGGAACGGAGGAAAGGGAGTTCATGTTATCGTTCATGCTCTGAACACACAACAACGTCACAAACAACACTGCTAAAGATTTCCGCTAATCAGCCCGCTTAAATACTGATTAGCGACGACCTTTATATAGGTGTGAGGTTGATAAAAGAGATGCCTAACAGTTAAAAGTACTGACGGTCATATTTAACGAATTAACCTCCCTATAGAGGGGCATCAATAGAGTCCAAATTACAGCGAGTTCTTGGCGCAGAACACATTCAACCTTCAAGTAATTACAGAGCCTAGAAGTTCAAATCTTTGGGATACCTTCCATGATGAAAACAATAGAATTTTTCAATACGTGCCCTTTTTCCCATTTAAATTGCAGTAATTTCATGTTGTGTACGTCTGCATTTCAGTTGCTCTAAGTGGTTAAATGTGTTCTTGACATTTTAAATTTATGAAAACATCTTTTTTTTGACATTTCCTACGTTTAATTTTATTTAAAATCAGCAGTAAATAATCAGTCATCATGATGTAATCGTCAAGTAGAGGAAAGGTCAGGAGTTAGTGAGAGAGCAATTAAGTCAGGCAACACCGCAGGCGAGTCTCCCCGAGAGGCATGATAGGTGTGAAGTGAGATCTTTTAAGAACACCACACACCCCATTAAGTGAGGTCATGCCGCAAGCAGGCCTCGGGATATGCGCTAGGTGGTGGTTACAGTATCTTACCGTATGCTACTCCAACTAAAGGGGAGGCGGTCGTATGGCGTGGCTGGCAGCTGTCCTACCGTAACTGGGACGCTGCTGGACGCTAATTGACACCTCCCTGAGCCTGGGCAGCCGCTCCCTTGGACCGGAGAACTCGTCCACAAGCCACGCACCATACTGATTCGTATAATTGATCGACCTACAATGGTGAGACGTCTCCGTAAACGCCGAATTGCGTACTGATCGCTCAACTACGCATTCTCTTCCGTTTTTGAGCGGAGTTTCGACTTTTTTTCGCCTACCAGCCATTACATAT